TGATATTCATGGTGTGCTGATTAACTCAAATCAATCAATGTACTTAGTTTCATACAAGAAAACACTCCACTTGCTGGATGCCTTTAAACAGCAGAGCAATTGTATCTTTTTTTTCTCTTACAGTCTGTACAGCAGCTGATTGAGACAAGGTAGAAATAGTAGTGTCAGAAACCATAAAATGGAGTTACAGTGTAGCAGTAATTACTTTGATTTGTTAAACCACAGTGATCTCATTATCGTTTACAGCATTTTCACAGTCTCAAACTATTACACACTTAATTTAAATTGCCACGGTGTTGCTGGTGTAAGTTTTAAAAGCTCATCATTTATTTCAGAGTAACTTACAAAATATCCCAGAACGGTGTATAAACACAAGCAAAAATTATAGGCATGTCATTGTACTTCAGCACAGACTGGTTTGTAATTCCAAGTATTGTGTAAATATTGTCTAAAAGCTAGTGTATTCAACTGAAATGTCCATTACATTAGGTCAGTGATTCCCAATTGGTGTGCAGTGCAAGTGCAATTGTGTTCCTTAAGGGAAGTCCAGGTGTGAAACTGGTCCACCCGAAAGACAAAACTCCTAAACACAAACTTAACAATGCAGTGTATGCTGTACAGTGCAGCGAGGAATGCCCAGACCTAGAGCTGGGCGATATATCGAGTTTTTAAAAAATATCGATATATTTTTATACGAGATATAAGATGTGACCATATCATTTATATCGATATAGTCTATGTTACGTTATAATTATACTTGTGGAGCCACAAGTTTGCCTCTCTTTCGTCCACTTTCGTCTTTACGCAAGGTTACTCGGCCTCGAATCTCCTTCACTGAACACAACTCCCCCTCCTCCCCCATCGCTTCACCTGCAGGCAGCGACAAGATGGACACGGCAAATCTCCGTTAACGAGTTACTGCGCATCGCCCCGTGCGTGGGGCTGGACGACATCAACGTGTTAGCTAGCTAACCACGCTAACTTGCTAACCACGCTAACGCCATGCTGCCCAGAGGTGCTGCACGGACTAAAATCCTTTCATTTTCTCAAAAGTTGGCAGCGCGCCTTATGTATGAATTCTGGTTGTGCTTGATGGCCGCGAACCGATTTTATGTGGAACACGGCGCTCAGCAATCTGTCAAAAAATGTTTTAGTACGACTTTGGTAAGCTACGGAGCTGCACCGCTTGATGGATTGTCGGAGCATTACGGCTGAGCCTAGCGGAGTGATACGTACTGTGCTTCAACGTAATATTACCCTACTGTGTATAAGGACCATAAATGGCTCCTGTTAAGAGACGTGGTTGCGAAGCGGATTACAAACTCCAGGCTGTCAGTCACGCAGTACAAGTTGGGAACAGAGCAGCTGTGAAATCTGTCTGTTATTGTGCTCGGCGTCTTTTAGTTTACATTTTGACTGCACAATTGTGAGCTTTTTGTTATACACAAAAACAACATTGTTTTCTTTTATTTATGGAGCATTATTATTTAATAAATGTTCATAATTTATTTTTGAGTAAATTTTATGTACATCTGCTCTATGTTAATAAAAGTGCCTGTGTGACATCTGGGACACAGCTTTGACTAAGAACTCTCTTTTTGTTCTTACTTTATGGCTTTAAAAAAAATATATCGAGATATATATCTTATATCGCCATCCAGCTAAAAAATATCGAGATATGAATTTTGGGTCATATCGCCCAGCCCTACCCAGACCTCTACATCGGAGAGACCAAAAAGCCACTTCACAAGTGCATGGCACAACATAGAAGAGCCACCTCCACGGGACAAGACTCAGCGGTTCATCTGCATCTAGAGGACAAAGGTCACTCTTTCGAGGATGCCAACGTTCATCTATAATCCAGTTTTGAGATCCCTTCCCAGACGCCTTAACGCCCACGCACATCCTGGGCCATCTGACCTCAGAAAATAACATGATAGGGTGGGGCCAGGTTTCACAATGAGCTCACGCGAAACCCTGGCTGATTGTGACCCACACCTGCTTTCACACCTTGGCTCATGTGATTAGGTAGAGGATCATCAGGGGGTCATTTGTCCCTCTTTGGGGGGAAACTCCCACTGCGTTTAAATCTGGGACTCTCCACCATTTGACCTTAGAACTGAAGAAGCTTCTCGGATGAGAGGTGAAACGTCTTCAAGCAACTCGAAGTCCAGACACTTTTCTTTCCAAGCTCCTTAGACTACGATGACCTGGATGACTGAGAACCTTCACAGACATATCTATATGTACTTGTATTTGTTTTTTATTCAATATGATTTTTGTCTTCTTGTTCATTTATTTGTAAACCACTGAGTCTGTAACAAACACTGATACAGCAGACATATACAAAAGTCATGAGCCACCCCTCATTTCTTTGTATTTTCTTTAGATTAATGGAAAATGGGAGCCGCAAGTTACTGAAAAAAGTGCAAACATACATGGAAATACATTGGAGTTTCCACACTTCTACCAAGCTAAAAATCTGTATTTGGTATATCTGGTCTATTCGGGTATCCTTCTACAGCATTTTTTATGTGGGATCATAGCCACTCAGATGCTTTCCTAATGGACCAAAATCTGATGGCATTTTTCTGCAATCATAATTCTAGCAATTTTGACCAGATACTCAACACACCTGGCTGAAATGTAGCTCGAAACTGTGACAGTCTCCAATGCGCTTTACAGATACACACTGTTCTACATCTTTCCTGACCACCTCTGTGCAAACTGACAAAATTTGATTTCAAGTTTGGATTTATCACTCCATAATATGTGTTTTCAGTCCATTTCTTGTGTATCCACATCCTTTTCTCCCTGTTTCCCTTCCTTAAGAATGGCTTCTTGACAGCCACCCTTCCACTAATTTCTGATGAGGCTTCAGTGAACAGCAGATAGACAAACTGAAAGATTGCACCTCTACTGTGTCAGATCTTTGCTGTTTTCTTTTCTATTTCTGAAGGGTGTCAATTTCAGATACTTCTTATCTGCTCCAGATAGTGTTTTAGGCCTACAATTTCCTATTCTGCCTTCCACCTACCTAACCATTTTCCTGTGCACCACGCTGAGGTAAGTCATGTTTTCACCTAATAGTTATACGTGAATCACTTTATTGGTGCAAAAATACTATTTTATGCCTGTCAAACTGTGTTACTCTTGGCAGTTTTTATAGATTCAAATAAAGTGATGTGAACAAATGATTTGTTTTCCCCCAACAACACATTATATAATTTAAAACAGGTTCCTTCCTAAATTTATTATACATAGATACAACAGTGATTCATTCCTTGAGTTAATCTATATATATATA